GCTGGCGTGCAATGTACCACTCACGGAGCTGCTGAGGGGAAAAGCTCTCACGACCGCGCTGCTGCTGCTGTCGTGGACCACCATCGGAGCCACTCCTCTGCGTAGACCCGCGACCAGCTGCACCACCACCCCCGCCGCCTCCGCCGCCTCCGCCGCCTCCGCTACTACCGCCGCCTCCGCCGCCTCCTCCACCGCCACCACCTTTGCCACCTCCGCTCCCACCGCCACCGCCGCCGCCGCCTCCGCCTTAGTGCTGCCACCGACACCTCCACCTCCACTCCCATCGCCACCCCCACTCCCCCTGCCGCCTCCACCTCCACCTCCACCGCCCCCGCTCGCTCCTCCAGCGCCCCTGCCCCCCTTGCCCCTGCCACAGCGGCGTCTCCCGCTAGAGGCAGACGCCGCACCGACCGACTCAAGACCAAGGAGGTCGGCCGCAGCAGTAGAGGCAACAGAGGGCAGACGGGGGGAGGGGGAACACCCCTCAAAGATGGGGGTGCGCAGGTCACCACGAGAGGCCCCTACAGCGACTATGCTCTTCTCGGCCGCTAGGAGGGACTGAGAGGAAGTGGTCCCTGACTACGCGAAGGGAGTCAGGGAGGCGAATGACTATGTAGGAGAGAGTGATGTACATGGGGGGGGGGGGGGGTTCGTGGCGCAGAAGTCAGCAGGAAGGGCAGCGCGGTAGCGAGTGTCACTAGTGCGGAGGTGCGTAATGAGGTCAGTGACTGTGGGAAAGGCAGCAAGGTCAGGGAAGAGGTACGGTAGCATGAGAGGGCTCAGTGCAGTAGTGGCAGGGGAGGAGTAGCGTGCAAGTACAGTGTCGTACAAGGTCTGAGCACTCTTGTACTGACTAAAGTGCGCACGCTCAGAGGTAGGCAGGTGGCGACGCATAGCAAGACGTGCAGCAGCATCGCGCGTGGCCCACTGTGAGCGAACAGTGGCGTCAGCATCAGCAGCAGGAGCAGGAGAGGCACCAGAGGTGAGGTCAAAGAGGGAGAGACCGTCTGCCCTATCGCAATGTAAGAACAACTGCAGGTCATCTACCCAGACGTCAAAGTCAATGGCTCGACCCTCGGCGTCAAAAGCGAGGACACTAGGGGTAGCCATGACAGCAGTAGACTAGCAGCGCTAACCGTAGAGCATGGGCAATACAGTGACAGAGGCGCTGCGCTCACTAGACAGGGCGGTTCGGGCAACTCGGGCGGCTCGACAGCAACTGCGGCTCGGCGGCACCCGCGGCTCGGCTCCTCAGCTGCTCAGGCGGCTCGGGCGGCTCGGGCGGCTCGGGCAGCTCGGCTGCGTAGGCGGTTCAGGCGGGGCCGTAGGTAGGGCGACAGGGCCGGGTCGAAGGTAGGGCGACGGGGCCGGTGCGCATGTAGGGCGACGGGGCCGGGGCCGGGGCGCAGGTAGGGCGACGGGGCGGGGTCGAAGGTAGGGCGACGGGGCCGGGCCGTAGGTAGGACGACGGGGCCGGGGCCGGGCCGTAGGTAGGGCGACGGGGCCGGGTCGACGGTAGGGCGACGGGGCCGGTGCGCAGGTAGGGCGACGGGGCCGGGGCCGGGGCGCAGGTAGGGCGACGGGGCCGGGTCGACGGTAGGGCGACGGGGCCGGTGCGCAGGTAGGGCGACGAGGCCGGGGCACAGGTAGGGCGACGGGGCCGTGTCGACGGTAGGGCGACGGGGCCGGTGCGCAGGTAGGGCGACGGGGCCGGGGTCGGAGGTGGGGCGACGGGGCCGAGGTCGCAAGCGGAGCGACGGGGCCGGGGCCGGGGCGCAGGTAGGGCGACGGGGCCAGGGTCGCAAGAGGTGGGGCGACGGGGCCGGGGTCGCAGGTAGGGCGACGGGGCCGGGGCGCAGGTAGGGCGACGGGGGCGAGGCGCAGGTAGGGCGACGGATCAGGGGCCGCTAAGGCGGCGCGACTTGGCCACTAGGGTGGCTCGACGAAGTCAGAGAAGGGAGCGCCACTCGGGCAGGGCGCGCTCCGGGCAGGAAATTTTTTTTTTTCGACTTGGTGGGCCCTAGGCACAGTTCCCACCAGGGAACCTGCTCGATACCATGAGAAAACTGAAATGAGAGGGAATGACTAAGGAATGAAAGTGATACAAGTATGCAACCCTAGCATTGTGTACCCCATAAAGGCTACCCCACTACAGCCTACACAACATTATAATTTGACAAGTTGCGCCATTAACCGACTTTGGTTTACGCTGTCTGTTGCTTGATACAGGCTCTTCAGGTGGTTGTACGCGAGCTCCGCGGAGTTGCCGTAACCTCGGTAAGACCTTATGTTCTGTTGTTGACTCGGGGTGATATTCCTTAGTAGGATCGTGTACTCCATCATTGACTGATAGGTGTACTGCTGCTTCTCGTACTATGTGCCGTTTGTTGGGTATGGCAGAGACCCGTCGAAGAACCCGAATATCTGCGCGCCTTCCATCATCAGCTCGAACTCGAACGACCAGGTGAAGAAGTCCTTTCCATCGAAGGATCTTGACGTCTGCATCTTCAGAACGTGTGCGAACCGCGACTGAACTTGTAATGCGTCCAGTGATTTTTCTTGTCCAGGTGAAGGCTGTGGGTGTGGCATAAAGTTGATGGACCCGCGCTCGTACGGAGCGAAGGTAGGCTGCTGTTGTTGATTTCCTCGTGCATATGATGAGCCATCGAGACTCATGGGTGTTGCTCCGTTGTTGTTGCTGTTGTGTGACTGCGCAGGTGCCGATTGCTGGTGTTGCTCGTAGAAGGACATGAAGGAGAAAAACTTCTCCATCATGCTCTGGTCGAAGTCTGCAGGTTGATTCGCGGGAGTCTCGGTAGATGTTGCTCTGGGTCTTGTTGCCGTGCCCTCCTCTGTCTGTAGGCCAGAGGCAGGAGGTGGAGTAGGAGTAGTGCCCTGGGAGCCGTTGGAGTTGCTCCTTTCCTTTTGTGTAGCCATGCTGATTGATACTGTCGGTATAGAAGTTGAATTCCCCCTGATTGCTCTCATACCATGTTGGGCTGAAAACCCCTTAGGATCTTTGCAGGGGTGAACTCTGGGTAGAGTTGGTGTAGTAGCGGAAGCGTTAACTAAAGGGTTGTGAACCACCTTGCGCTAGTATGTGAGGGCAAAGTAAGTTGATTAAAGCAAAGAGATACAGGATTATAAAAGAGTACAAGGAATACGAAGAGATACAGTTATAACTACTTTACTGTTGCTGTTGCGGTTCGATACAGTGACGACTCGGGCAACTGCTCTGTAGCGAGTCAGTTGTGTGTCCTTGCTGTCGTGCTGTACTTGTCAGGTCAAAGGTTGCTGACCTTTGACTTTCGCGTAACCTCTAGCAACCGCTCAACCTCCGAGGGTTGACTCGCCGGTGCTTCGATATACTTCGCTTCGCTTCTGACTTGGTGTTTCGACACGATAGAGGCGCTTAGGACCGATTGTTTCCAACACTCCCCTTCGCTTCTGGAGTGTCCCTGACGTGGCTCTGTCCAGTCAGCAGCATGAAGTATTCGAACTTCTGCTTTCCGAGCTTCTTGGTCAGGGAGTCAGCTGCCATCTCGGACGTGGGGCAACCCACGAGCGCGGCCAGTGATGGCGTCGTCCGCCCCGACGGAGACGACGACCACGGCACGACACACCCCGAAGCGACGAATGCGGCCCGAAGCTAGCCTCACGTCACAATTTCGGCACCACCGACGGTTCGGCACTGCCGTCACCGATGCCGCTGAAGCCGCAGCGTCCGCCATGCTTCGATCCCAGTCAAAGGGGTGGTCCTACCGTTCAAGCGTGGTTGTTCACGATGAACGTGTTTTTCGACGCCAACTACGTCTCGGAGGATACGGCGAAAATCCGCTACGCCGTGTCGTTGCTGCGAGGATGTCAGAATATTATAGCTTACTTATTTGTGTAGGCTATAGTGGGGTATCCCATAGGGGGTACAACCCAACTAGGGTTTCCTATTTGTACTCACTTCATTCGTAATCATTTCCATTCACGTTCCTTTCTTCACATGGAATCAGAGCAGGTCCCATCCTAGGGACTGTTCTTTAGGGCCCACCGATGCGTGCCCGAGGCGCGCGCCTTTTTTTTTTTTTTTTAGCGACCCTTCGAGTCGCCCTTTTCCTTCGCGGCCCCGCCGCCCCACTTCGCGGCCCGACCGCCGCCCTACTCGCGGCTCAGCCGCCGCCCTACCTTAGCGGCCCACCCGCTGCCCTTGCTAGCAGCCCCGCCGTCCCGTCGCGGCCCCGCCACCCAGTCGCGGCCCCGCTACCCCTACGCGCGGCCCCGCCACTCCGTAGCGGCCCCGCCACCCCTTCGAGCGGCCCCGCCCCTTCGTCGCGGCCCCGCCACTCCGTAGCGGCCCCGCCACTCCGTAGCGGCCCCGCCACTCCGTTGCGGCCCCGCCACTCCGTCGCGGCCCCGCCACCCAGACGCGGCCCCGCTACCTCTTCGCGCGGCCCCGCCACTTCGTCGCGGCCCCGCCACTCCTTCGAGCGGCCCCGCCACTTTGTCGCGACCCAACCGCTGCCCTACCTGCGGCCGTCCCGTCGCCCTACCTGCGGCCTACCCGCCGCCCTACCTGCGGCCGTCCGCCGCTCTACCTACGGCCGTCCCGCCGCCCTACCTGCGGCCTACCCGCCGCCCTACCTGCGGCCCGCCCGGCCGCCCTACCTACGCGGCCCAGTAGCAGCCGAGCCGCCCGGAGCAGCCGAGCCGCCCAGGAGCCACCGAGCCGCCCAGCAGCAGCCGAGCCGCCCGAAGCCGCCGAGCCCCCCAGCAGCAGCCGAGCCGCCCGGAGCCGCCGAGCCGCCCAGCAGCAGCCGAGCCGCCCAGGAGCCGCCGAGCCGCCCAGCAGCAGCCGAGCCGCCCGGGAGCTAAGCCGCCCAGCAGCCTAGCGGCCGTGTCGCCAGGCGACCTTCCTCCCGAGCCACCCGACCTGCCCTGCCCGGTGAGCACTGCACTGCTGTCACTGCGTACCCTTCCCCTACTGCTTGCACTGCGCCACTGTTGTCGTCATGGCTACACCCAGTGTCCTCGCTTTTGACGCTGAGGGTCGAGCCATTGACTTTGAGGTCTGGCTCGACGACCTGCAGCTGTTTTTACAGTGCGACAGGGCCAACGGTCTATCTCTCTTTGACCTCACCTCTGGCGCCGTCCCTGCCCCTGCTGCTGATGCTGACGCCACTGTTCGCTCTCAGTGGGCCACGCGCGATGCTGCTCCACGTCTTGCTGTGCGTCGCCACCTGCCTACCGCTGAGCGCGCGCACTTTAGCCCGTACAAGAGTGCTCAGACCTTGTACGACGCTGTAGTTGCGCGCTACTCCTCCCCTGCCACTGTTGCACTGAGCCGCCTCATGCTCCCCTTCCTCTTCCCTGACCTTGCCGCCTTTCCCACTGTCGCTGATCTCATCACGCACCTCCGCACTAGTGACACTCGCTACCGCGCTGCGCTTCCTGCTGACTACTGCGCCAAGAACCCCCCCCCCCATGTACATCACTCTCTACTTCCTAGTCACTCGCCTCCCTGACTCCCTTCGTGTAGTCCGGGACCACTTCCTCGCGGTCTGTCCCACTACCCTCACAGTCGACAGCCTCGAGAAGGCCCTTCTTGCAGCAGAGAAGAGCATAGTTGCTGTAGGAGCCTCTCGAGGTGACCCCTGCGCCCCCATCTTTGAGGGGTGTTCTCCTTCCCCTCTCCTGCCCTCTGTTGCCTCTGCCGCTGCGGCCGACCTCGTTGGTCTTGAGTCGGTCGGTGCGGCGTCTGCCCCTAGCAGGAGACGCCGCTCTGGCAAGGGCAAGGGGGGCAAGGGAGCGGGTGGGGCCAGTGGGGGCGGTGGCGGTGGAAGTGGAGGCGGCGGAGGGAGTGGGGGTGGCAGTGGAGGTGGTAGCGGGGGTGGGGGTGCTAGTGGCGGCAGTGGAGGCGGGAGTGGCGGCGGCGGTGGCGGTGGTAGCGGAGGTGGCGGAGGTGGCGGCGGTGGAGGTGGAGGCGGGGGCGGTGGAGGCGGAGGCGGGGGTGGCGGAGGTGGAGGTGGTCGGAGTGGAGCTTCGCAGCGGAGCGGCACTGGTGGCGGTCAGCGCCAGCAGCAGCAGCAGCAGCAGCGTTCTTGCGACGTCCCCACCCCTCAGCAGCTCCGTGAGTGGTACACGCAGCGTCAGCACGGTGGGGGTTTTGGTCCCTGCACCTACGTTCTCCGCACTGGCGACCGCACTGGAGAGCAGTGTGGGGGTGCCCACCCCGCCCAGCGCTGCTTTGGTCGCCTAACGGACGCTTGGCGTCAGCAGTTCCCGGAGGCCGCGGAGATCCCCCGCTGGGGAGAGCTGTCTAGGGCTGGTGTAGCTATCTTTGATCTTGATTTTGATGCTATCCTTGCTGCCATGTATGCTGTGACCATTAGTGATGAGGGTGACTGTTACCGGTGTTTCCCGCCCAACCCGGGCATTGGTACTGCTGCTCCAGGTGCCGGTGAGGCTTCTGCTCTAGGTGCCAGTGCGTCTGTCCTCTCAGGTGCTCGTGAGACTGCTCTCTCAGGTACTAGTGCGTCTGCGCTCTCAGGTACTGCGTCGGCTTCGGCCTCCCACAACTTCACTCTTGATTCTGGAGCGTCTCGCTCTTTCTTTCGGGACTGCACCACACTTACGCCGCTTAGTCGGCCGGTTGCGGTTTCCCTGGCTGACCCCTCTGGGGGTCCTGTCCTGTCTCGCTTCTCCACAGTCCTCCCGTGTCCGGCGGCTCCCTCTGGCACCCTGTCTGGTCTCTACCTCCCCTCGTTCTCTACGAACTTGGTGAGTGGTGCTGACCTACAGGATGCGGGAGTCCACCAGTTCACCCCTGCTCGTCAGCGAGTGACGCACTGCACAGAGGCTAGCACGGGTCGTCACCTGGCTACGTTTACACGTCAGCCAGGGTCGAGCCTGTACACACTGACCACTGCTTCTCCTCCAGGTGCTGAGTCTGGTAGAGTCCCTTCGTCTGGTCAGGTGTTTGCTGCAGCGTCCAGGTTTGGTCCTGAGCCTGCCCACTGTTCGTGTCGCCGTCTGTCTCACGAGACCCTCCTCTGGCACCACCGCCTTGGCCACCCCTCACTGCTTCGGCTCAGAGGCATGGCCTCCCGCCTTCTTGTGTTTGGTCTCCCCCGGTCTCTACCTCCCCTTCCTCAAGGCCCTGGCCCTGCCTGAGGGCCCTGGCCCTGCCTGTGTCCCCTGTGTCGAGGGGCGCCAGCGTGCTGCCCCTCACTCCTCCCAGTTTCCTCCGATAAAGGCTTCGTTGCAGACGCTTCACATGGACGTGTGGGGCCCTGCCCGCGTCCGTGAACTCACTCACGAGCGCTACTTCCTGTTGGTGGTTGACGACTTCCCGCGTTACACCACAGTCTTCCCCTTGCGCAGCAAGGGTGATGTCACTGAGGTGCTGATCGACTGGATCCGCGCAGCTCGTCTCCAGCTCAGGCAGAGCTTTGGCTCGGACTTTCCTGTGTTGCGTCTGCACTCGGACAGAGGCGGAGAGATCTCCTCTGGCCTTCTGCGTGCCTACTGTCGTGCGCGAGGCATCCGCCAGACCTTCACGCTTCCGGACTCCCCGCAGAAAAATGGGATTGCAGAGCCCCGCATTGGCATGGTCATGGACGTCGCTCGTACGTCCATGATGCATGCGGCTGCCCCCCATTTCCTGTGGCCGTTTGCGGTCAGGTACGCAGCGCATCAGATCAACCTCCACCCCAGGGTCTCCAGGCTTGAGACCTCCCCAGCCCTGCTGTGGACGGGGAAGGTTGGCGATGTGTCGGCGTTCCGGGTCTGGGGATCTCGGGCGTTTGTCCGCGACTTGTCTGCGGACAAGCTGTCCCCTCGCGCTGCTCCCTGCGTCTTTCTGAGGTTCCCCCCCGACGCCCATGGGTGGCAGTTCTACCACCCCACCTCTCGACGTGTTCTATTGTCCCACGACGTCACGTTCGACGAGTCGGTACCCTACTACCGCCTCTTCCCCTACCGCACTCCGTCCCTCCCCCCGCCCCCGCTCTTCTTGGTACCAAGTCCCCCCCCGGTAGACCCCCTCCCCCCTCAGGGTCCTGCCCCTTCAGGTGTGTCCCAGGTAGACGCGGTCGAGCCTGTCGAGGTCACTGGTGACTCTGGTGCTGCTGCGCGAGCTGAGCCTGGGAGTGCTGAGCCTGGAGGTGCTACACTTGGGGGTGCTGAGCCTGGGGGTTCGGAGTCTGGAGGTGCTGAGCCTGGGGGTACTGAGTCTGGGGGTGCTGAGCCTGGGGGTGCTGGGCCTGGGGGTGTTGAGCCTGGGGGTGCTGAGCAAGGGGGGTGCTGGGCCTGAGGGTGCTGAGCCTGGGGGTGCTGAGAGTGGGGGTGCTACGCCTGGAGGTGCTTCGTCTCGTCGAGAGCCACTCCCCCCACAGGAGCTGCGTGAGTGGTTTGCCCGGCGCTGGAGGCGTGCTACTGGTGCTGGAGGTTCTTTGGCTGCAGAGGGTACTGCTGCCGAGCGTCCCGGAGGTGCTCGAACTGTGGGTACTGGAGCTGCTGGATCTGAGGGTTCTCCTGGAGCTTGTGCTGCTGAGGGTGTTGGCGCTGGACTACCGCTGACGGTCTGACTGGCAGTGCTCCTGGTGGTGCTGCTGGAGGTTCTGGAGCTACAGGAGGTGCTGCTGGAGGTGCTGCTGGAGCGGGTACTCCTGCTGGGGGTACTGGTGCTGTCCTGCTGTTCGTGGCGTCGCCGCGTGGCCCCGACCGTACTTCGTTCCGCTCCAACAGCAGGTTCTTGGTCTTACACCTTCTCGTGGTCCTCCTCCTCCTCCCTTAGAGGATCCACAGCCTGTCTCATCACAGTCACAGCTACAGCCTGCCTCCCCTTTGCCTGCTCCTTCTCCCTACGCTGGTCCGTCTGGAGGTCTTACTGAGCGTCGTGAGCCTGCGTCTCGTCCTGCGTCGCCTGTTTGTAATGCGCGCGCGCTAGTGGTCGCGGTTTGCGTCAGCGTCCTCCTCCTGTCCCTGGCACGCACCGGATGTCTCTGCGTCCGTCTACTGCTCCTTTGCGTGCCCCTTTGCCTTCTCCTCCTGCTTCCTCTCTTCCTACTCTTGCCGACCCGGAGTCGGACTCTCTTCGTGCTGCCAGTCCTACTGTCACGCGTCTCCTTGCTACTGCTGTCAGTGACCCTTCTTTCGAGTCTTCTGCTGCGTCTGCCCTTGTCACTGAGCTCGTCGACTTTGCTGCGCGCTGCCGTCTAGACTACGCTGCTAGTCTTGTCGCTGAGTCTGAGTCTGCCTGTCCTCCGTCCGTCGGGGGTGAGTGTGCCCTTGGCACGGACGTCCTTGAGGACAGGCAGGAGGAGTTCCAGTGTCTGGCCGCCGCTTCACCTCATCTCGCGTCTGTACTGCTAGCCCCTGAGGGAGACTCGGATGCACTAGACATCCCGACTCCGCGCTCTTACGCGGAGGCGATAGAGGGTCCCTACTCCTCTCAGTGGCAGGCAGCTATGGATGCAGAGATGGCTTCCTGGAAGTCCACATGCACCTACGTTGACGCTGTCCCCCCTCCTGGGGCGAACACCGTCTGTGGCATGTGGATCTTCAGGGTGAAGCGGCCGCCGCGTTCTCCGCCTGTCTTCAAGGCGCGTTACGTGGCTCATGGCTTCAGTCAGCGGCAGGGGGTTGACTACTTTCAGACCTTCTCTCCCACCCCGAAGATGACCACTCTTCGGGTACTGCTGCACGTTGCAGCTCACCGTGACTACGAGCTGCACTCTCTCGACTTCAGCACAGCTTTCTTGCAGGGCAGCCTGCACGAGGAGATCTGGCTGCGTCGCCCACCTGGCTTCACTGGGTCTTTCCCTCCAGGTACCCAGTGGAGTCTCCGGCGTCCAGTCTACGGTCTCCGCCAGGCGCCACGTGAGTGGCATGACACACTGAGGACTACACTGGCGGCACTTGGGTTTGCTCCTTCTACTGCCGACCCGTCGCTGTTTCTGCGCACCGACACCTCTCTGCCGCCGTTCTACATCCTCGTAGACGTCGACGACTTGGTCTTTGCCAGAGCTGACACTGCTGGACTCGCCTACGTGAAGTGCGAGCTGCAGAAGAGACACACGTGCACTGACCTGGGTGAACTGCGCAGCTACCTTGGCTTGCAGATCACCCGGGACAGAGCACGCCGCACCATTACCCTGACTCAGTCACACATGGTGCAGCAGGTCCTTCAGCGCTTCGGCTTCACGTACTCCTCGCCTCAGGCCACTCCTCTGCCTACTCGCCACTCGCTCTCAGCTCTGCCTTCGGATGAGTCCGTAGAGTCGAGTGGCCCGTATGCAGAGCTTGTTGGCTGCCTCATGTACCTGATGACCTGCACACGACCTGACCTTGCATACCCTCTTAGCATTCTCGCACGCTATGTTGCTCCTGGGAGACACAGACGAGAGCACATGGCTGCAGCGAAGAGGGTGTTGCGCTACTTGTGCAGTACGTCGGGCATGGGGCTAGTGCTTGGAGGGCGCAGTCCAGTGGTCCTCACTGGGCACGCGGACGCTTCTTGGGCTGACGACCAGGCTACACAGCTGTCGTCACAGGGTTACACCTTCAGCCTTGGTTCCGGCTCTGTTTCGTGGCGGGCTACCCGCTCGTCTTCTGTTCTCGGCTCCAGTTGTGAGGCTGAGGTCTACGCCGGGGCTATGGCTGCACAGGAGTTGCGCTGGCTCACCTACCTGTTGACCGACCTTGGAGAGCCGCCTCGTTCTCCTCCAGTCCTGTACGTAGACAACAAGGCCATGCTGGCCTTGTGTCGAGAGCAGCGACTGGAGCACAGGACAAAGCACATTGCTCTCCGCTACTTTCTTGCTCGTGAGCTACAGCAGCGTGGACAGTTGCGACTTGCGTACGTGGCCTCTGAGGCCAACACTGGTGATGTCTTCACCAAGGCACTTGCGCCTTGGGATCATCAGCGTTGCTGCACGCAGCTGGGCCTTGTGCCTGTCTTGCCTCACTTGCTCACTTCTTGACCTTGCTTGTACCTTGACCTATATATACTCTTGCTCTTGCTTGCTTGACTCTTGTTAATCTCTAAATATGGTCTTGCATGTGAACTGGCCTTGTGGCCCTTGAACTTGTGCTCGGAATGTGTGGTGACTTTGTGATCCACCCTGAGCTTTGCTTTGTTTTGCTTGACTGGTCTTGTGACCCCTTGTTCTCCCCCACTTTGCCTATGGGGGTGTGTCAGAACATTATAGCTTACTTATTTGTGTAGGCTATAGTGGGGTATCCCATAGGGGGTACAACCCAACTAGGGTTTCCTATTTGTACTCACTTCATTCGTAGTCATTTCCATTCACGTTCCTTTCTTCACAGAGGACCCGCCATGGATTGGTGGCGCGTCATCGTCACGAAGCCGATGGACTACGCGACTCTACCGACACGGGAAGGACAAACGGGACCTTGGGCGCCGTCGTATTTCGTGGAGGTGCCCCAGTATCGCACGTGGGACGCGTGGTGCGCAGGTTTGCGCGCTTGTTTCGAGTCAATCGCGGCGCGATAGAAGCTCCGCACTTGGCGCCAACTCGGTTCTGTCCAAGACTACACGAGCGGAGTTTTGGCACTATGCGAGCAGGTGGGATATATGCACGAGAGCGATTGCATCGACCGCTACATCGGCAGCCTGAAGCAGGACATCGCTCAGGAAATCCAGCTTCGCGGCGTCACCGACTTTTAAGAAATTCTTGATATGGCGGAGAAACTCGATTTCTTCCGCCGACCGAGACCGGGGTCCTACGGAAGCAGCCATTGGGGACATCGGTCTCGTGGGACGAACGAGAGCGCTACGATACGTGCCGTCGCCGCAAATGCCGTTGCCGCACTATTCAAAGGGCACTGCTTTGCGTGCAATCGGCCGGGACATCGCAAGAGCGAATGCGCGGAAAACGCTAAGGGAAAAGGGGAAGCTGAGCAGCAAAAACAGACCAAGCAGCAGGGAAACGTTGTAAGTCAGTAGCAGACGGGCCCTCTACTGACAGGTCACGCCGCTCGCCCGACCCAACCGACCCTCACCGAGTGATTGTGCCGGTTCACGCAATCGACCACACCCGGGCGAATAAGGAGGGTACTACGATAGACAGCCCCATACTACTTAGTGGGAAAATTGGGACAGACTTAGTTAAAATTTTCGTAGACGGGGGAGCCAGCCACAGCCTCATCAACACTGCCATGGCACGGAAGCTGAAACTGCCACTGGACAAATGCTTACCTGAGATCGACGCAAGACTTGTCGACGGCA